CATTAAACCAGATCAGTTCAGAAGGCTAACATTTTTTAGCCAAGGATCTTATTCATGTTTAGACTTCTAAATAATTATAACAAATGAAGGTATTAATCCCAAAGGTCAACAAACTTTGAAGAAATTGCATAGAAATAGGCTGAGAAACATTGGTATTCGCATTGCTCCAAGCATGTGATGATGGCGCACATCTTAATACTGCGAGGCGTATCTCACGAAAATTTCATCAGATGGAGTACACCTGTGAAGACTGATTCAGCATTAGTTTTGAGGCTCGAGGAAAACAAAATTTCACTGGAAGATATTAAGAGCATGTTTCGTACGAGGAAGAGGCTATTCCGTTTTACAATTCTTCAACTTATACTTTTTGGTAGCGCTGAACTTGTACCACCCCGTATCATTTCCGTCGAATATAGGCTCTGCAAAAAATGAGAAGAACGATTTTCTTTGGAAAGTTCTTCGCGCACTTTCTCGTGTCACGTATGAACCTAGGGATAACTGAGCTTATCGTAGAGTCTCAGCAGCTCGCGCCCGCCGAGGACGCCTGTCGGCGCGTCTTATTCTTATATACAGTGTTTTGATTCTGGAAAGTGTTATATCCTGTGTTTAATCGTAAAATAAGTAGTTACTGGAAAACACTGAGCCTCAAAATTGAAGGTAGAAATGAAAAAGATTTGAATCCATGTGCCTGAATCCGTGTGCTTGAATCCATTCCATCGAGCGTTCCACGTTTCCAAATTTAACTAAATGATCGTTGCTCAATTAAGATTCGACACACCCTGGATTACTGAGAGGTTTCTTATGAACGCATTCATCATCCTATGATGAGAAACACATTTTTACAGTTGGAATACTTCAATCTGAACTCGCTTGAGTCACCAAAACGTCCGAGGTTTTTAGTATTGAGCGTAATTAGAGCATACGAAAATTGACGATTATCGCGAAAATTAGAAGTGAAAGATGACAATCAAACGATATCTTTAATGAGACGGTTGGTAACTCAGCTGTTGTTCAATTTACAATTCCACTCACGAGGGGACGCAAATCGTCTGCACTGTAAGTACATATCATCCGATCTCACAATTTACGAAAACTTCATTATTCTTGTGAAAAATGATAGCCGTCTTATTGAAACTTGATGACAAATATAAGTCGGCAAAGAAAACAGTGCAAAAGCAATTATCTGTCACATCGATGTCAGCAGCAACAGGATTATGACACCTTACAGGAGAGCTGCCTGGAGCGTTCAAAAAGTCCCATACATTTTCTTGGACTAAAAGTCTAAGAAAATGTAGGGGACTCTCCGCGATACTTACAATACAGACGATTTGCGTCCCCTCATATCACTGAGCCCTTTGCGAATTATCCTTTCTTCTGAGCGATGTACCGTTTAAAGTTAACGATATACCTCATCAGCTTAGCAATGTAACGTTTTCGCTCTGCGATAGACCACTATACGGCTTAAGCGCTTTCCCCCAAAGAAATGTCACAATAAACTAACTAAATTATATTGAAATAAATCGTTCGTTTCCAGAACTCTTCAATCCTTTCAAAACCACTCTAACTGATCTATTTATCTTTTCAGTCAAACTCAATCCAAGCGAGATGTTTGCAGAAGTCTTTCTTTTCTACTTGTTATCTTTGCTCCCTCTGTGCATGGCCACCAGTCAGCAACGTGAACCCGCAGAGCAGTCAGAGAGTGGCAAAGCTCTCAAAGGTCACATCTTTAAATCGAAAAGGGTTCAAGATCCGCACGAATGTCTGATGTTCTGCTACAGCGAACTCACATGTCAGAGCTACAATTACGTCATGACTGGTAATTTTTGCGAGCTGAATAACAGAACCAAAGAAGCAAGACCTAGAGATTTTGTCCGAGATGAGACTAGATTTTACATTCGACGGTGGAAGAACAGAGGTACGGATACAATAAAACATAATCTTTATTATCATATAAAAGTTAGTACAAAATGGAACCTTATCTTAACTTGTAAATGTCAAGTTCCTTCCAGTTCCTGGACAATCACAGCCAACTTTCTTGTTAAGTCAAAATTCCTCAACAAAATATCTTTTTAGCCATTCGAATGGCGGTAACCTATTTTTCAACTATTTTTGGAATAGAGAAGTTGTATTGGAGAAGGGACGAGAGACATTTACAAACAGAAAAGTGGGGCTCGTTTGAAGTAATCAAAACAGCCAAGAAACAAGGTTGTTTGCTCGGTTGGTAAATAGAGCGCTAATGGGTCAAGAAGGTAATTGAACAGCGAACAAGGGATGGCGGTCAGCGGTAGATATTGGCTAGAGCCTCAGGAGACAAAAATGAAATCCAAGAACTTTCTGGTTACAAAATTAATATTCTTCACTTATGGATAATTTTAAAAAAAATAGATTTGTATCGTAAAAAGTGAGAATGTCTGGAGTTCATTATTTCTTTCTCATGGACAATTCACGAAAAAATAAGTTTGGACCATAAAATGGACGTTTGCATGGAATTCTCAATTCTTTTCCAGGTTTATTGTCACATGGTATCAGTTGATCAGACCTGGACTCTCATCGCTTGGTTTTCAAACAGTGACACTAAAAACTGGATGGATGACTCAGGAGACTGGTGGTATGACTATAATGAAGTTGCAAGAGAAACCGCTGACCCGTCATATTAGGCAGACAGAGCTTAAGATCACGCGTAATGATGATTCTGGACACACCCCTCTATTGCAAACAACAGGGAACTGTCTGAGCGGGAAGATATTCCGCTGCAAAATTACTAGCTATGGTGACTTCAGAAACGGTTCAGCCTGGTCCGGTGGTAAGTGCCTGGAAAAATGCAATGTTCAATTTGGCGGACGGTACCTAAAAACTAAGATATCGAATTGAACACGAGAAGAGAAATTTCATATTTACAAGCAACCATGTATGTATTATTTTGTTTATCATATAAATGCAATAGCCCTTTACTAACAAGAAAAGTCGACTGTATTTATGAATGAGAATAAAAGGATCGACATCGTAAAGTGCGTTGGCGCACTCAAGATGAAAACATGCGTTGAATCACTACAAAAACAAACAATGGGCCTAATTTTCAATATACAAAATTTTCAGGTATTGAATTGAAACTCGGGCCTGTGGCAAATCTTTTAGTTGCTGATTTTTGTTCTCAGCCGCGAGAAATGCCATTACCAAAGCCACTGAAAATGTAACTTTCGGTTTTTCTTTTCGTATTTCGGTTTCCTTCCCCTTCTATGAAAGTTTGAACGTGACCGTCTGAAAGTGATACAGATTTTTCTGTGTTTTAGCAGCTAAATCCGAAAAACTTCCGACAAACGACCATGGATTGAGAATGGCGAAAACTTTGCCGTTCATTCACCAACCTGATCGATTGGCACGGAAGGCGAGTGACGAGCTGATTGGCGATATCAAACGCGCGTGAAAAAATATCGTATTTTTTCACGTGTGTCATTACGGCTTTTCTCAGGGCTGGCAATCCTTGTATAACACCGTAGTTTATATGATAAAAACCGTTAGCCGTAAATTAGCTAACATAACAACCGTTAGCCGTAAAAGCCTTCACCCCATCAAGACGTTCATTTACGGGTATTCTGGTTGTATAAAGATCCTCGCTTATGATAGCCTGTTGAAAAACCTATACTTGCTTCATGAACTGTTAAAATGCTTACTGATTGCACTACACAGTGTGACTTAACGGCTGAGATTCCTTGTCGACGAGGAGAGCGAGGCCTGGGTAGGCCACACCTGTAAGGCAGCTTAAGAAGATAGCCCAAAAAAGAGTAAAACACGGGCAATTTTTGCATGTATCTTTGGTCCACTGACTATTGAGGGGATAAAACTTAATTTCATGAGCACTTAACATCACAATCAGTGAGGAAGTTGCATTATAATGAATTCGCGAGTATTTATTTTTCGCTACCATGCACTTTAGGTAAGCCCGTTGTGAATAATTTTGTTAGTAATTTTTATAATTAAGTCTTCTATTTGCAATTCGAGTCAATCTTCTTCATCCTTAGCCGACCTCATCCCATTTAGGGTAAAATTTTTCCCGTGTCAATTATTCTATCTTACCAAACTAATGTTTGTTTTGAGGTTTCTCTTACTTTAAAGGTAGTTTTTACATACATTCTCGACTAAAGAATGATGACGCCATCTCCTCAAAAATACTCAGCTTTTGGGACAAAAAAATATTTCCAAACATTTCAATTCAAATGCAAATGCACTTCGAACGTCAATTGCGAATCTCTTCCGAATATCTTGGAATGGTCACCCAGTGAGCATCTGTGACAACGTAGACGCAATCAGCTGTTCAAACGATCATGTTCCTTGGGTAAGTTTTCGGATCAGGATGCTCAGGTTAGATAACTTTGCTCCAATCTCAGGCTATAGAGAGGGATAGTTTCTAAAGAAACTGTAGTGCTGCGCAGTGGAGGCCAGAGTATGACAAGATAATTTGGTTTTATCAACTTAGTTGATAATATAAATTCGCCAACGTTAAGAGTTTCAAAGCTGACGTTTCGAGCGTTAGCCCTTTCTCAGAGCAGAGGGCTAAAGAAGGGCTAACGAAGGGCTAACGCTCGAAACGTCAGCTCTGAAACTCCTTAAGGTGCCCCAATCTAGACGAGTTATCATAACTCGCGGCTTCGCCGCTGGCACTACAGCGCCAATGACACGCTCTCAGGCTGAATGTGCCATGTTCATGCGCGTGCAAAATAGGAAAAGGAGTCTAAGAATTTAATTAGCGAAAATTTCCCGAGCAAAGTTTTAGCAATTCGTCAAGTCCATCTCAGCGCAGATTTTCATTGGTCTGTCTTGGCTGATGATTTGAAAGGTGTACAATTAATATGTCGAAATTAACTTTCTCGTAGTGTGATTTAAATATTGCTTCAAGACAGAGCCAGGTTACTATGCTATTTATGAACAGTGTAATAAGTATTCGGAGATGAGCTTGACTGCGTTGACGTTCGCTTAATTTTTATTTGAGATCACTGCATTAATTCACGTCATTTCAACACACACACGAAGAAAAGTCTTTCAAGTCTTCGAGTTCACGATAGATTTATTTGAAAATTACTACGTAAATGGTGACAGCATTTGCCATAAACGTGACGACAATATTCAAGGTTAGTAAATTCTGTGTATGTTTCTCGTAGACTAATGTAAAACAAGTTCTTTCACGATCAGTTCAACAGATAATATTTTAGGGCAATATTAGACGAGTTTCAAAACAGTAACTGAACGCTCGGTTGAATGAATAAAGAGCATTATGCTGGCTTCAGGCAGTATTTCGTAACTTTTTGTTGCTTAGACATAAAAAAATTGTAATGTGATTGTTCGAAAGCCAGTGTTGATTTTCGTGCACCAAGTCAGCCACGCCAGAAGGACTCCATACATTTTTGATTACGGTTTTCAACATGTTCTCATAATCACCCTAATACATAAAAAGCCATTCAACCTTTATGTCTAGAGAAATTGCAGCAGAATGTGTGGCGTTTGAAAGGACGCCACACAGTTTTTTTTTTTTTGCTTATTTAAGTCTGTTTAGATATTTCTGGTCAAGAACCAAAACACTTAAAAAACAACCTCCATATACAAAAGGCAATTATTGATGGATAGTAATTACGTAGTCCATCAGAGTCGTTAAATTATCAGATCATGCATTGTCGGGAGCGTAAATAATCAGTCGTTTGCCACCTGACGTGATTAAGGATCAGTCACGATAGCAATGCCAAAGAAGATGGCGATTCAAAAGTGAATTTGTATTTTTAGTCAAAATTTCACGAATGGCTAGACGTGCTTGCCGTCTCTTACAGCGCCACACATCTATACTTCAGAAAAAACGGATGTCAGCAACATTAAATTTCAAATTGAAACTGAGTTAATTAACCGTCGGAGTTTCTGTTCTCAGAAATTCAAATTTTGGTGATTTCACTTTGTTGGCAAAGGCACAGAGTTTTCAAGCGCACGTGCTGAGCTATTATCCTGCTCATAAGATCTTTTGTCTTGGCACGTGACTTTTACGAAAAAGCCGAAGAATGTTTGTAACGTCATAGCTTTTATTCAAGGTCATTTGTAAAACATGGACAGCAATCGCCAATTTTGTTTCTTGTCATTTTTGCATTTTACAGATTTTTTTACCCACAGGACTGAAGATACTTAAAACTTTGAATTAAGTCTTAAACTATTCCATTGTTCAATTGGTGTAGTTTCGCTTGCCTTTCCAGCAGCTGTGTTTTATGAACGTGTAGCATGAAGATTTTGCAGGAGTATAAAATTTTGTGGTGATAATCACCACTCAATAAAAAAGGCTCCCAAGCAAAAAGTTTTCCCTTTTCCCATGCGGTTTGACGTCAAAATGCCATAAAACAAAAGTGTGGCTCATAAATCGCTGGTGTACGTGTACTATAAGTAAACATTCTTAGACAAAGAAATTGCCCATGTTGACGTCATATTTGCGTCTGTTCTCCCTAAATGATTGGTGGGAACCAATCAAATCCACGTCAAAATAAAAATATTTTTCTTATATTTGTTTCCTCTTCGTCTCCCCCAGGTAGATCAACCCTCAAAGCGCTGACGTTGTGAAAGCCATCTTTGTGGATAATGCGTTTATTAAGTAATTTTTTTTTGTGAAGCTTTTACACGTATAACGGTTTTTTCTCTGTCCGTCTTCTCGTACTTGTCTTACTTTATTGCTTACAAAAGAAACTGTGGCTGATTAACATCAGTTAAGTGATGGCGAGCACTGAAATAGAATCATGCTGTGCATTCATTGCATTTACGCGATAATTCTGGTAGTCTGTCTCACGCACTTTTTGCAGACAACCTCGAGAAAAGTTACAGCTTAGCTTCAGGGTAAATTATTAGACGTTTTTGACGCGTAAACTTTTTCTTCTTTCAGGATATTTGATTCGTTTGAAGAGAAGGAAGAAACAGCCACGAAGTAGAACCGAGGGATGTCAAAGAATATCTGAACTGAAAGGTACCTCTCTTTAATTTAAACTTCGGAATTTCGGTGCCTGCAAATGTTCGCAGACTACTCATTACGATCTTAAAAAACTCAGCGGACTGACGCGTACGGTTAGTGCGCCTTGCTCCAAATCGTAGAGACTGGGTTCGAGCCGTGGCCTCTTCATCGCATTCTGTTCCATGTATACCTTCAAAGTGCCTCTCTCCAACCAAGAGTAACAATGAGTACCGGCCAATTGTCAGGTGAAGCTGACAAAATTCTAGGTGTTTACTTGTCAATGTACTTGAGTCCACTCCTACTCGCCTCGTGCTTCTGAGCGTTCTAGGAGACAGTGCGAGGTTATCTATCTTTAGCATAATTGTTCCGGTGATTTTGGAGATACGCGCCGGGGGCACTCCGATAGGTCGAGGATTGCGTCATATCTCGCTTTATAATAAAGTACGGATATAACGCGCGCTGTCATTGGTTGAAAGAGCGTGCTCTATGAGAGTAGAGAGCATAGAGCTGAGCTAAAGCTGTCACGCAATCTGCCAATTGTACTATGTTCGACATAATTGAAAGTGAAATTTCGGAACTGAAGCGAGCCGGCGAGTAGCAACAGTAGAACCAAACAAAGGTTTTTAAACATACCAGGCGCCGTAATTTACGTTATTAAAACGTGAGCAGATACGAAAATCCTCAAAGGAAAAACAAAATAAACATTCCGAGTTTTAAAGATTTTCACGCTCAGTTAGATTGCAAGCTTACGTACGGTAATAAAAATCAAACACAGCTAGCACTCGTATAGTATATAAAGTTCAGTGTTCAAAAACAAAACAGAACAAAACAGAAATTATGAAAAATATAACCAAACTGGCATAATTGTTAAAATTCATACCAATCATGACGGTGTCTGACCGAATATGATCATGCTGAAGTTCATCGCGGCTCGCTCATCATGGCGATCTCCGGTCATCATAGTAAAGCAAGCCTCAGAAACTACATCGGCCGCCCTTCGAGTGAAAAAATAAGAGCTTGCTCTGATATCCTTTCCGATACGTTAAGTGGAAAGTCACATCAGTCATTGCAGCCGAGTTTTGCGGCGCTGTCATCCCAAGCGATCTTCATGTTCCGGTGAATTCGGCTGTCGCTCATTCAAAAAACACCCGCCTTGAACAGTTTGTTTTCTACCTTGTCATGTGAAAAAACTCACGCGTTTTTATGAGCCATAATTAGGCTGAAGTTCAGTGAACATTTCACCTCAAGATTCTGTGTTAGAGACTTAAAAACTTCAGGCAAGTGTTAAATTCGACTTGCCGAACTATTTTAGTTTATAAACTATCGTAGAATGTGAACTTTGATGGTTTGACACTTTTGACAGCTTTAGTCTTGTACAGCCAATCAGATTATTTGAACCATTCTAACAAGGATTCTGATTGGCTTATTGTAGCGTGCTTTGTGAGGGTATAGAGCATGCTGACGACACTGTTCTTCGCTTTGGAAATAAAGTTTGTTTTGGAAATTAAAAGTAATGCTGGGGTAATTTAACGGATTCTTCATTATAAAACAAATAGAGAAGCCTTGACTGTGCTCTGTTCTGTTATAAAGCACTTAGGAAGCGGCTAGAGCACTCAACCACGCCTCGTGTTTCTCCCTACACTTCTTTCGTGCTCTAGCCGCTTCCTGCGTGCTTTATAACAGAACAGAGCACAGTCAAGGCTTCTCTATTTGTTAAATAATCACCTTGCGCGAGGTGATAGTAGCTGGGTGCTAAATTTTAAAATGGTTGCCCCGTGTTTTGTCAATGTTACACTGGAAGTGAAACGGAGCAATAGCGAAAGATTCAACTCTGATGAGCACAAAAGATGCTTTTTAGTATGGCGTAATACTATGCAAAAGAAAGATATGAAGTTTTTTTATGATTGAAATGAATAAGCCTGTTAAATTTTGGTGGAAACTGGCTGTTAATCTCGGAATCAAAACAATCATAACTGAATAGTTTTAGTAACAAAACAAATTTACAACAGAATTCGAAAGCATCTGAACAATTATACTCAAACAATTATTCGCCTCAGGCTTGGTGACTGTTGTTGAATAATCCCCTTCGACAATTATTCAACGGTATTCACCTCGCCTCTGGCGAATAATTGTTTATTAAACTACATTAGGAGCAATCTATATTCAATTATCATGAATCTGATTTAAAACTATTGACTGTTCTAGGTAGCGTTTTCGTGAGCGAAAAGAAGAAGGAATGGAATCAACTCCACACCGCTGCAAGAGAAGGTGATATCAGCAAAATGAAATCCCTCCTCTCTGATGGAATTTGTATTGACTCGCAAGAAAGCACTCATAAGACGCCATTGATGATCGCAGCTTTTAATGGCAAGCTACGGGCTGTTAGATATCTGATTGAAAACGGAGCAGATATGTCGATAGTAGATAACAGTGGATGGAACTCGTTACATTTTGCTTCACAAGGGGGTGATCCTGATATTATTGATCTGATAGCCAGTCACGTGGCTGATATTGATTCACTTGCTAGTGAGGCTTTCACTCCGCTTATGGTTGCCTCTGATAATGGCCGTCTCCAGGCCGTGAAGTATCTTCTAAAATCGGGAGCAGATCTCTCGTTGAAAGACGGCAATGGCTGGAAACCTGTACACCACGCCGCACGAGGTGGCAATCCCGCCGTCATAGAGCTGTTCCTTAGTGACGTGGAAGAAATCGACCTCAGGGCCAATCGAGGTGAAACGCCATTAATGATTGCTGGTTACTATGGGAACCTCCAGGCTGTAAAGTACTTTCTGGAAAAGGGTGCTGACCCGTCTCTAAAGGACAAGAAGGGATGGAATTCGTTGCATCATGCCTCAAGAGGAGTGAATCCTGACGTTATTGAACTTTTTCTGAGGTGTATGGCGGATGATGCAATCGACTCCAAGACAAATCAGTGGTATACACCATTAATGATCGCTGCTGGAAATGGTAGGCTTCAGATCGTAGAATTTCTCGCGCGAAAAAATGCATGTCCGTACGCCCGTGACAACAATGGATATTTCCCATATGACTGGGCTTTGCATAGTCAAGAACCACGTACGCTAGATTGTTTACTTAAGCAAACCGCATTAGCGTTTGAAATTCAAATTTTTAAAGAGCGTATGATTGAGTATTGCGATCCATAAATAATGAAAACACGCAAGGGAAGCCAATTCACACATCCAAAATAATGGCAAATTAAAGGAGTGAAAAAATGGAATTGGTTTCAACATGGCTCAAGGGGTGTGAACTCAGATATCGCTCAGCCACCCCTTAGCTATATGCTTTACATTAAAACTACAGCTGATCAGCGGTTTAAAACATTTTTCCTTAAAACTAATTCGTCCTCAGTCGCCTCTCTACTTTTAGGTGTTACGAAAGATTCGCACGAGTCCCCTTCCTTCCCAGCGTCTCCTAGTATCAGTCTCCCGCGATTCCGCAGCCGCGTACGAGACGAACGGAGCCGAGTCGGATGTCATGTTAAAATAACTTTTGAAGTTCTACGAGTCCTTCAACATCAGTACGCATTTTCCCCTTACTGTTCTCCATACATTTCTTAAGGCAACGACAAGGAGAATTTGGTATAACAATCAAACGCTTCTTTAAATGGTGATTATTTCCTTTACACTCGTGGCCTTAATGTTTGCTTCAGGGGCAAAATTGTTCGGAGAAATTAGGGGTAGTCACTCTTAAGAATTCAAAAGGTTTTGGAGTAGTCTCAAAACACAAACAAAATACAAGATGGTTTTTTTCTCAACATTTATTTAAGATAAAATTATACGATTTAACAGAAGGCCGCTTCGAAAATAGCTGTATTTAGTAATAAATATGAGCGGCGTGGTTTATAATTTACTCTTCTCCTAAAAATTTTCGTCCGGCAAGCAAGAAAAAGAGGATAGTTTCTTCCATAGGAAGAGAATTGACAGTAAACAGTAGGGTGAATTTGTCAAACAGTGAAAGTAAGCGAAGATCTTAATACTGTTCTTTTTCTGTTACAAAAAAAAATATTATCTCGTGAAACACATGGGTAAGACTACTTTCGATGGAATAAACCATAGCGAATAGTGATTTTGTAACTTTATAAGCGTGGCTTGTGATCAAGTTGTGTCGACAAGTTTTCTGCGAGGTACCATGCATGTAAAAACGTATCCTCTACCAACAAATTCTCCCAGTAAGAGGAGAAAACTCAATCGAGCGTGAAATGATTTGCTAAGTGTACTGTCTGGAAAGGAAAATAGAGAAAGAAAACCTCTTTGCCTATGCGAAAGCATGAAAGTACTCCTCGCAAGTTTTCTGCCCCAGCTATTCTGTTCCAAATCCTGCTGAATATTTTCAATGTACTAGGTTCCACTCCTGAAGAGTGATCCATTTTTAACGATTATGGTTGGTTTTTGTGTTAAGAACACTTTAAATGAAAACCCGTGGAAATTCCACTTCTGAGTTAAGGACTTCAGTTACACACAGACAAGTTAACTTTACTTCGTGGTGAGTAGCTCCTGATGGTTGATGTCACGCTAGTAGAGGTTCTGTCGTGATGACATCTGAATGTAACACAAGTCTTCAATTTCACAGAGAATATTTCTGCTTCAGTATGCCTTCTGTCGAATAACACAGAATACACACATTCCAGCGGTATTGGTGTGGAGATGGTGGTGATGATGATGATGTTGAAATAACATCGAAGCATGTAACATGCATCGCTTGAGGGCAACTTGAATCTTATCAAGCGTGACACTTCATGCTCAGCCAACAAGTGTTATGCTCTGCGGGGCATGGGTACCAGCTACTGCCAGCAGTAAAGGTACATCGTTGTCATCCACACTGAGAAAAAAAAATTAAGAAAAAAACTTACCATCGATCTGAAGTACCCCCCAAAAATAGCTAACAATTCCAAGCCAGAATATATAAAACACGAAGGTGGCAAATAACAATTCTAGCAAGTTGTTTTTAAGTGCTGAAAAATTCGCAAAGAAATAGATTGCAAACCTGTTCCCTCCGTGCCGAGCCGGGCCCCCACCACGCCCAGTTCCCCCTTACCCTCTTCCTTCCCAACAGACACACACAAACTCTCTGAATGAAAACTCTAATTAGAGAGACTGTTGGTGTAAAATATCTCACGACGAATTATTATAAGAGGCGCGGATTCTTTCGAGGAAGGGAAGGAGGGGGAGGAGGGGGAAGTGCGACGGTGACAAAATGGAAAAGAGGGGGGGGTCTCATAATTATTTCCTATTTACCTGAGCATATTTGTGAGATCATCACGTGTCAATACTTTTCGTCTGTCCCTCAATCTCTCTGTTATTACCTGTTGTAAGAATCAAAACGGATTCCACAATTGGTCACTGTGTTTGCACGCCTGAACCTATTTAGTCACTAGGGTAATAAGCTCACTGTGCCTGTAACTCAAAAAAGGGTTCTGTGATCATAATTTAATATTACTTCATTGCAATTAACTTATAAAGATAAATCATTTGGGAAAGTTTAGAAGAAAAAAATTGCAAATAAGATATTCAGAGCCTTCGGTAACCTTAAAAAATTAGAAAAAAATGGACTTATTTTCAAAAGCTAAGTCTTGAAAACAACTTGTCTCTTTTGCGGCTAGTGTTTGATCGTGTTACGCAACACCAAAGTGCCACGTGACAAAAACCAAACAATAGCTCCTAGCGAGACAGCATTGCAGCCATTTGAGCAATTTTCAATTGAGTGTTGACGGGAGATTGCTGTAATTGATCCAGAAAACTCGCGCCCATCTCTCAACCAATCAGATGCTAAGCTAAAACCACTTACGACTTTGTCGCCGGCGTTTTCCCGCGCTGTTAGCAGTTTGGTCGGTTTTACTATGGGTTCCCATTGGCTCCTAAAACTATTTTCCTTTCTTCTGATTGGTTTACGACAATTAACCGACAAGCGCTCCATTGAGCAAAGAATATCAAGATGCCAACCTACCTTGCTCTTCAGATATATCTCTTTCAGTTTATCTTCCAAATGCATTAAACACTGTAAAAGTTAACAAAAACGCTCTGATTACATTTAAAGCAATAGCTAACCAATATCAATTTCTTCAAATTCACTAAATCATGTAATTCAAGAAGGCTTTTGCTGATGAACATGGTATAACACGTCATTCTGACTGAGTTGAAGCCTAGAGGGTCATAACCCAGATTTTAATTTATTTTTTTGAAGCAAAAAACACGGTTGCGGTGATGTGAGCCTGGGCGAAGTACAAAGTTTACATGAAACCTGTGGGCTCACGAGGAAGCTCTAAAAAATATACAGACAATTATATTTCCCCTGAAACTACTTTTTTGTTTAACTTACAAGAAAAGTAACAATTGTTCCATGTAGCTATGGGTGTTAACCTCGAGCAATCGAACACCTGTATTTTAGCTCCCATTCAAGCATATTTATCAATCTATTTCAAAAAGATAAAATGTACACAGCAAAAGTAGAAACAACAGATCCGAACTTACAAACTCTGCCGACATTTTGATGTCCCATAAGCCGCTGACTGAAGATAACATGGATAACACTAAGTTGGATACTTCTACTTGTTGTTCATGGTGAATGGGATCGCTAGAAGAATAAATCACAGCAAACAAGTTGAGCATCAAGGCGAAGATTAAATTGCAAATTAATTGAAAAAACAAACAAACAAACAAACATACACATACACAAAATAAGAATACTAGTTCCTCCTTTAATCCAATACTGAAGTGAAGGCACGATTTTCTATGACAAATGTTGATTAAGTGGTGATTCTCCAACCTTTCACATCCAATTTCAGAATAACATTCATCGAAAATGTTTTGTCTCGTTGCTTCCTGATTCAAAAAACCTGTCTAACTTCCAGTGTTCAAAAACTGTACGGTAGAAAGCATCTGGGTACTGATCTCTGATTAAAAATACAGGTATATTCTTACCAAGTTGGCTGTTTCCGATTCTTTTTCATGGAGACAACTTCACAAGTCCTACAACAAAAGCCACGCGGTGAATTTCAAAATTACCACAAACGTTTTCATAAGAAACGTGTTTCGAAAATAAGGACTCAGATTGATTTTTCCGGGTCTCCAAATTTCACGTTAAACCCTTCCATTCACAAAATGTCAAAATCAATTCTCCTCATGCTCGACACACGTAACGTATATATAACGTACGTAACGTATATAACGTATAACGTACGTTACGTTACGTAGATATTTATCCGAAAACTTTATCGCACGAGTTCAACAGATTTCCATGACTTTCCAGAACCTGTAGTCTTTTTCCAGGACTTCCCAGTCCTGGAAAATGTCAAAATAAGATTCCAGGACTTTCCAGGTTTTCCAGGATCCGTACGCACCCTGATAACTGCCTTTCTCCTCATTGAATTATTGTGGTCAGTTGAAACTCTGTTTTTTTGGATCGTTTTTCATTTCAAATCTCTTGAGACACACAAGGCCTTCAACTGACCCTAATTTTGCAATTAGTTCCTTGTCATTTTAATATATCGAGGCTGCGGTCATTTTTGTGAAAGTCACACAAACTGTTTGGAGCATCAATGAATGATTCGCACTTACCATTTATCGGTGTTAGCAATGATACACACTGCTTCTGAGACCGGATCATCCACAACTGAGTGCTGTGAAAAAAAAATTATTAAAGCGCTGTTATTTATCGTTTGTTCCCTGAGGTTAGTTAAATGTCATGCAATTGCAACAACATTTTATGGCAAAGAACACTATTGCCAAGATTTCAGCAAGCTAGACCAGCCTAAAAGGATTTTCCTTTCAGGCCGGCGACCAGCAATTTTCATCATCTGTGAATCTCCTAGAGTCTAATACGCTACCGAAAAAGCCATATGCTTTCGGGTCTGTATCAGCTCTACATCAAAAATATTTCCCTGACATGTTTCTTAACAGTGTCCATTTAGGTAAAAAAATGTTATTAGCTGATGAATGCATGCACTTCTAGAGAATTACACATAATTATGATGATGGGCAAAGATGGGAATTATCATACTACTCACCTGCAATGCAAGCTTTAGGTCAGCTGATAGTCTTCCTCGAAAGTCATTTTCCTGAACACCCTGAAGAACCAAGTCTGGCAGATAACTGTCCACAATTCTGAATTCAAAGAGAGGAATCATATTGGAATAAATAACTCTAAACTGCGATGTTTGAAATCTTGAAAATTCTGTACACCATGATTAAATCAAACAGACAAATTTACCAATATACCAGTTTTTAAGTATAGCAAAATTAACATGTAGAAGTCTTTCAACTAACCCTGCAAACATTGATCGTCCAAAGTTGTTAAAGATTTTCCAATCATCTGATTTGCTGTGGAGTAAAATATTAGGTACATTTAATATTTTTATTTCACAAATGGATTCCATGTTCCTGCACATCTACTTGAAAGCTTAAATAATAGATTCCATGATACTGTTCAGCTAAGAACACATATAACATCCAAATAACATCCAAAAGTGTCTCACAAAATTAAAAAAAAAAAAAGAAAAACATTATCTTACCTGTTTATGGAGAAGCTCACTTCTTCAGTCCTAAAAGAGTTTGAGGGGAAAATGTGAATGTACTTGTTAATAAAGAATATAAAATTAGAGTGTTGTTCTGTAGCAGGAAAAGAAGGAGAAAAAATGGTACTTCTGAGACTGTTACAACACACATTGTAAGAAAACTACAGACCAGTCAGATTATCCAAGACTAGTAAAAATTTAAACAAATTTAAGGGAAAAAAGTAAAGCCAACGGTCACTAACAAAGACTGTTATAATGCATCTTATTATCCAAATGTACTGCACTCGCTTTTCCCACTTTTTAAGAAACGCACATGAAATAGAGCAGTTGGATAATACTTGTTGTTCGTACTGTGACTTGTGCTGCGGGCTCGTTAAAAAAAGGCACAACTCGAAAAGATACCGAGCAATACCATACACCAAAATGTCTAATAAAATACATGTATTATTCACAGAATATTTTTCATAAAAAGTCCTGAACTTATTTTCTGTACCTTGGTAAAGGAATTTCTTCCGGCAATTGCTCGTCTTCCACATGACACGAGACAACAGTTGGAAAACTGTCAGGTCTTCGAATGGAGGGCGAGTGTAAAGGGCTCTGATGGATGCCCGAATCAGCTGATCCACTTCGTCCATAAGATGCTATACTCTCTTCCACATCAGTGCATTTATCTAACACATTATTTTTCAGAGACATGGAGTCTCTGTCCTCTGAAATACAACTGTCTGCCTCAGAAATCCGCCTACCCACATTTTCATTACCACTGCCAACAGAATCTTGCCTTTGAACAGCCTGCAAAATCTTGGTTGCTAGAGAATTGTTTATTTCTGTAGGATAGTTGCCTTTGGCACTTTGTGAGGACTGAAGTTTTTCTAAACATTGAGCACAACAATGAACGCAATTCTGCTTTGCCTGATTCTTGTCAGAATCGATTTCCAAGCCACAGTAACATTTGAACTTTCTTCCTTTAGGAACAATGCTTCCTTTTTCAGATGCATTCTTGCAACAATAACATTGGAAAGAGCCACAGTGACTATTAGCAAGAGCTATCAAGTTTGAATCTTTCATAAAATGTTTCAACTCCTTGTGCACACCTCCATTTGAGATCTTGTTACATGTGCAAACAGATTGAAGTATTTCAATGCCTGGAAGTTTTTCCACTGAGCTTCCGTCAGTAATTCTTGCATTGCAATGCAAACAATGTGTAAGCCCATTAGTACCTTGCAATTTTGAAATCAACTGCTCACGTATTATCTCTCTGTTTTCTTTGCCTGTTAACTTGTCATGTTGCACACACTTTCCTTCGCAGTTCTGTTTACATTGCATACAAACACTTGGCTCAGTCGTTAAAGTTTTCCCAGAGTTTTCAACTTCAGAAAGAGATTTGCTTCCACACTGGGAGCAGACAGTCTGTATACTTTCTTGACCAAAACAAGAGATGTTCTCCTTCACGTCATCCTTGCTTTCATCATCTCTTTTCTGTACATGTTCAAACACCTCAGTACATCTTATGAAATAACTTAGGATATTCAACACTTTTGAAACAATTTTGGAGTCTTTCCCGACAACTACAGTCCTTGTAACTCGAAGAGGAAATCCAACTGCCCCGTACAAGTCTCTGAAGAAGAAAAAAATTATTAAGAAAAATCAATTGTTTTGAAGAAAATCTATGGAAGGTGTTCATATGTGCAAAACAGGAAGGATTTCAAGTTTAAAATTTACAAAACAACCATACTTTGAGATTGTAAACAGGTCAAGAATCATGTGTAGAAACAATTTTCAGATCAGAAAAGTATTTGTCTCCTTTTTTCCCAAAACAGTAATTAACACTTCAGTGTGGGCACAATTTCACTGGTGTTTAATTCCCATGTTTGTTTGAATTAACGTCTTCCCCCTTTGTTTGAAACAACAGATATTCAGTGCACTAAATATCTTACCAACCCTGTTCTCTTAGTCCCTAATGTAAGTTATGGAACCTGGTTTTTTCCACTTGGATTTCTAGTGGAAAAAACTTGGTCCATAACTTACAGTCAAAGGTGTCACTGAATTTCCAACAATTACCAAAAAACAAGGGATAAATGTATTTCTGATAAAGAACCAAGACAATCTCATCCCTGAATCAACTTCAAAAGATTAAAATGAAGAACATGTAATATTATCTTACCCCAGCTGAGCCCAGAGTGGATTGTATGGATGTGACTGAGCAAGCAGATCCAACTATAAATGAACAAAAAATATAAAATCTGCATTAAATGGGTGCTAAAAATTTCCTTATGGATCCCACAAGATGCATGTGAAGAATATGTTAAGAACAATGATGAGGATCTACACTACAAGAAGAAATTGGGGTTGAAACATCAATGTTTGATAAGACAATTCTCCCACCACCAAGGTAAACATCCCTTGTTCAAACAGTAAATTTCTACTACCAACAGAAGAACATTAAGACTCACAGTTTTGGATGAATGTTTGTCCAGAAATGCTCGGCTTGGGGCTGTTCCAGCTGGCATTACTGTTGACACCCATGCAAGATGATTCTGCAACACAGCTGTCAGAACAGCTGCCATGAAACTAGGAAAGGAAAGGAAAACATTCAATATCAATAATACATTTATTTGTGCGCCTCTAATTTAGTACCTGAATTAATAAACAATAACTATAAACAAAACCATTAATAGTTACTGTTACTATATTGTAGTCTTAAAAAATTAAGGGGTGCCTGGAATAACACCCTAGGTGACTTTCCATAAAACATCATCCTGTCCCTGGCTTTCACAAAGGAGTAGAGGATAATTTGAAGGAAATCTAGCAATCTTTCACTTTCCACTTGCATTTTTTTCTTTTTTCTCAAGCAACCCTCCAAATTTACTTTAAGTTATTCTTACAAGTTTGTCTCCCTGCTGTTTCCAACTTTGAGGCAGTCAACCAACTCAACCATGAATTTCTCACACAGCTGCGAGCGATGTGAAGAATGTGTCATTATGTTCAACCAAACTGGTTCCTAAAGAAATCAAAACAAACTTTATCAATAATTTCATAACTTAAAGTCCATATTGCTGACAATTTAGTGAAAAGAGTCACTTCCTGACCTCTGGTTGTATGTTACATCTATATGACAGATGTGACATTCACTTTGAAAAACACTCAAGATTTGGTTACAATTGGTGCTGATAAGTACAATGTACATGCTGTGTTAGCCAGGATGCAAATTCTGTTCTTCTCTCCAGTCACAAACAGCTGCCATCATTATCAATTACATTATTGTTTTGTCTGCATAAATTCAATATACATGAATAAGCTGCTAAACGCAGCAGCCATTTTAGTTGCCAAAATTGCTGAGGCAGTCAACAAGTTGCAGGCAGTTAAGTTTTCATCAGGTAATTTTATTGTGTTCATGATAATTATAAAAAAAATTGGGAAGGAAATCAACACTGTTTTATGCACAGAACTGGCTGAACAGCACACTATTTCTTTAGGTGAAAAACACATCACGTATTATTGTGTAATATGGTCATCCCATCTACACTGTACTGTACATTTATTAACTACTTCAAAAATGGTTGCCAGATGTTGAATTTTTACAAAAGGTTGAGCTGTGATAAGTTTAACATAATAAAAATAAAGTAAAAATATTTCATGTTTGTTACCTTGAGTCTTGGTGTTGCAAGCATATTGTGAATTGTGTCTCGAAATGTGTTCACTGCCTGTTGACAAAACAATTGAATACCTAAGTAATTCACACACACACATACAACTAGTCAATTTGATTTAAATTGATACACAAACAAAATTATGCAAGAAAACATCAGCTTTGAAACTCTTTACAGTGGCTAATTTACGTTATCAACTCAGTTGTTGTACTCTCTCACCAACGCAGCACCACAGTTTCTTTAGAAACTTACCCCCTTTATGCAAGAAAGAACTTAAGGGTTGAAACACCAAAAGAGAGAGACAGAAAAATAGACAAGCAAAAAAACAAGTTACACACCCCTGTACGACTTGCAGACAAACAGCAATCTACATTAAAAAAAAAAAAAGAATTGAACACATTTGTCATGTGTCCTTACCTCAATGACTTGACTTGTAAATAACCTTGGCTTTCCAAAACAAGCATTCTCAATGGACACTCTAAGTTTCATCACGTGCAATTCAAACAAAGGGAAATGTGCAAAAAATACCCCTTGAAGAGCCCTGTGAAGAAATGAAAAGAAGCCCCCATCAGAACTGTTCCTGCATGTAGTTTGCTAAATGACCTGCAACTATGAAATCCTTCTCTGAGAAATGCAAAATTGGTGGGCACATTTACAATACATGTATATCTGAGCAGAAGTTTACAATTTGTTGTACATTAGTGAGTTAAGAATAGGTAGATAGAACAAATAACACGAATATGAAAGCAATCTTTGCAGTAATGAACACTACTTGAGAAGTAGTGAAAATAAGGCCTGAAAAAAATTCAGGCCTGTATGGGATTTGAACCCATGACCTCTGCAATACCAGTGCAGTGCTCTACCAACTGAGCTACACTATAACAAGCCAACTAGGAGCTGGTCATTAAGTTGGTTTGTAATAAACGCATGAGGTGATGAATGAATGACTGTGAATATAAGAAAATCATATGTGTAAGCTGCATAAAGTAAGAACTGTACCTGCTTCTATCTTCATTGTCACCAAGAGTAAACAAAATACCAATACCCAGCTTTGGTCTTCTTCCCACAGGTGGAGAAATCTACAAGGAGGCAAGGAAAAACAGCCCTTATCAATAACTTGCTGGCTGTCAGGACCAAATTTATTCAGCTATGAGCAGATCCCTGCTATAAGCTGAGATCCCAAACTTGCAACAAGTAAAATATAACCAATGCATCCTGTGTTGTGATTGGAGGTTTCCATCCATTTTGTTCATTTCTGATGTCAAGATACATGTGTTGTTTTTTTAAAATTTCTAAGCTGGATCCAGGTGAAATTATTTTTTGGTATGATTTGGTAAGGTCTAGAGAACCCATTAACACCCATATGAGGAAAATTATTCAAATTGATTTGTGAACTCACATCTTCAGATAACTCATCACTCTTCCTTCCAAAACTGTTGTCAATACTGGTGGCATGACTTCGACGAAGACGTCTGTGGTAACTGCCACAAGGTGAGGATGCAGAGGTGAACCATGATGATGTGTTACCTTTAAAGACAAAAAAAGAAATTTAGACAATTGTAAATTTTACATCAAGTATTTGCTTGAAACCCCACTAACAGTGAATGTTGCTATACTGGAAATATTACATGAAGTTAAAATTATCAAAATGCAACAGATGTATTGAATAGGCCCAGCATTTGCCAGACAACTGATGAATTTCCAACAGCAAATCTTTGTTACTGTAGCTTAGAAAATACATGTGCAGTGTACATGTCTCTTGAAACTGTGGCATTTACAGCATTTTTTCTAATCCCAGTAGATTTCAGGTAAAGCAACAAAACTGTATTTCATTATGAACAAAAACACTACCTAAAGCCTTTCTGGTGGCCAGGAAGAGATGATCTTTAGAACCAACATGTACAAGTAATATTCATTGGCTAACTTACTATCAACAGATGCTGTGAATCCACTGTCTTCATCAGCATCAATGACAACTACCGGCGAAGAGCCAGGGACAGCCATTGGTTTGGAGGAATTCCCTTACAAAAATTAAAGAGAAAAGCATCATTTACTGTACATGAGCATGTAAGAGTTGAGATACATATTGACTATCAAGTGTGAAATCTCGAGCATCTGAGATGAGCATCAACAGCTGTCACACATTTCCCCTTCACCCTTTCCCACTTTTCCACTACAACATAACTTCCACTGCTTGATTTCACACCAAATTCTCATAACTAAAACTCTAAGAAATGTGTAGCAGACAATACAGAGAAGTAATAAGTGCAAGGAAAATAAATACTCTAAAAAAGGTGACATTTTCTCATCCATATGGTTCCCAATAATATTTCACATACACCTTGTAACACTATCAGCATTCACCCTAATCTGGGTCATTCCATGTCCTACATGTAAATGTATTTCTAAGCTTTAAACAATGCATAATTCTGCAGTTTGACATGAAATGATTGAATGCTCCTGGACACAAAAACACTTACCAAGAACAGAATCTTCAAGTTTAGAAAAACTGTTCTGTGATGACAATGACTCACAGTCTGGATCAAGTCTGTTTGAACTGTCTCCTATTCCTGAATCTACATGACTACTGCTGGTGCTGTAATAATCGCTTGAATCACTGAAACAAGGAAAATCAAACAACAACATGAAACACAGGAAAGAGGCTGGACCTTAGCACAACTCCCCTTAACCCTTTAAACCCTAAGAGTGACAAGCATCTAATTTCTCCCTACAAGATCACTCCTGAATCACACATGAAGGTCATGAGAATAAAGGAAATGATCACCAGGGAAGGAACCTTTTGATTTGCAAACAAATTCTCCTTGTCAGCACGTTAGGAAATGTATAAAGAACAGTCTGTCATGCTGAAAATATGAGAACTTTGTCCAAACATTACTAACCATAATCAAAGTTGCCAGTAAAACTATTGTTTTAATCTCAATGTTGTACCGCACCTTGAAAACTGGTGTTACTGTAAGTGTACAGTTGTATGTTCACAAAATTTAACCCTTTAACTCCCAGAAGAGATTAACATTAAAGTTCTCTCTATGATATTCATATATTATCCACCAAGCAAGTAATGAGAATAATCAAACTTATTGGATTAAGTTGCTATCATGAGCTAACACCAAATTCTTGTAACTAATTTAACAGAAAGTGGGTAGCAGCTAGAGAGGAGAACTCAAAATCAGATCTTGGGAGTTAAAAGGTTAACACAATTGATGGTAAATCCACTTCAAAGGTCTTTATTTAAGTTAAGAAAGAATAAGAAACAAAAAAGAACAAATAAAAAATAACTTTTTTTGCATTGAAACATTTTTCTCATGAAGTGGTCATGAAAGAACTCATGATCAAAGGACAGTTGACACCTACCCACAGCTGGGCAGAACAATTCTTGGTTGGACAGCAAACACATTGGTCAGTAAGAGCTGGTGTGGAGTTCTAAAATAAACAAAACATGCCCATTTCATTTGTAAACTCTACCAGCTTAGACTGTCAGAGCTACTTACCTATCTAAATTACATATTTCCAAAGTTTGCTTTATATCACAACATACTTATGACTTTACAAAGTAATTTTAATATCCTAATTTCTAGTCAGTTAAACCTCATGTGACAAAAACTAAAGCTTGGTATCTTTATAACCTGACCAATGTTAGGTCTTTAGTTTGATTTCAGACTTAAATGAGAAATATTGGTTAACATGTTAAATGAGGGAGTGTTTCTTGAACATTTCAACAAACTTAAGACAGTAATCTTTGTACTACATACACTGTATATTTACATCTACATTGCAAATTAAATGATTTAAAAACACAATGATTTACAACTCGTCTGCTTAATATTTTCTATTGTGACCCAAAGAATTAAGGTAACAAGTTAAGAAAAAACCATTTTACCTGAAACTCATGCTAAACTAAAATACATATTTGAGAGGTTCCTCTATTTTCCTTCACAAGATACACTCATGAAAAAAATTAAAAGAACAACTCCCTAAGGTTAACCTTTGACCTTTAGAATCAAACCTTATTTCATGGACTTTGACTGTTTGCCCTTTGTATGTCATTGCCACAGAGCCAAAGATCATCTCCCCCAACATTTTGGAGTCGTGACTTTGTCGTGCATACTGAAATTAAAACAAGTCAAAGTTACAAATATTGTCAGATAATCCCAGAGGGCTTATGCAGTTTCATAACCCATACACCAGTGTTCTCCTTTTCAAGCTGTAACCCATTAAATTTATCACCTGAAGTACCTCTGATTACTGCCTCAAATGACTTGGAATTCTTAAAAATTTAACAGGTATAGGTATTGCTCTATCAGATTGAAACTTCTTTAAATTGTCATGCTTATAAGGTAAGGGAGAAAGCTACTTCACATGAGCTGATCACAGCACAATACATGCACCAACTAAAAAAATCTTTGGTCCGTCACATATGCACATGCATGCATTTGTGCATCATGCAAGCAGTTGTTGACAAGAATCATCAAGAAGTGCAGGAGCAAGATAACTACTGTGTAGACAGTGGCCTGAGACATTTTTTTTGGCATTTTTGTGGCCTGAGATGAAGTCTAGGTTCATAAAAATGCAAAAAAAAAAAAAATAAATGAAAAATGCCACAACCAAACCATCTTCAATTCATCTTCAATAATCAATACAACAGCAACCAGGGAAACAATGCACTTTGATTGGCTTAAAACCAACTTTTCAATAATTAATGGCTAAAATTTAGATGACTGGACATATGAAAAGGTGCACAGAGGAAGAGTCAGACAGAGATAATTTTTTGAACAGCTTGACCATGTGACAAGCTCAGATCAATGTCAGTATCTAAGCAATCATGTACCTAAAAACATATGAATAAAATTTTAAAAAATATATATATATATATATATATATATGTTTTGATTCTGGTTTCTAACAATTAGTTGACCCTGAAAAAAGATGAAAGCTTGAAATCATCAGTTGCATCGGTTAGCTGTAATACACCAATGTTATTCCAAAGCATCGCTCCCCTGACCCAACAACAGTCAGCTGACTAAGGGAGGGGTAAGTCTGCAGTTTCTCAGTCACTGACATTGATACACTAGCTCTATAAAATATTGCTAAAATGAAAATGTATAACAGTGCAGTTCAAATTTTCTTGAATCACACAGCACTTTAGCTAACCTGTAATTTTGACTGAGATCTGCCTCCTTTTTGCTCAAGCCTGGGGCCTCCAGAAAGCTTCTTGTCTGAATCAGAAATTCTGTTCTGCCCCGCATCCTGGTGACATTAAAAAAAATGCACTGAAATATTAAACCACACCATGTACTTTGGATTCAAAATTGATTAAGACAATACACAGTTCCCAGCAGGGAAAAAAATAAACTTCTTCAACATCAGTACAACAAGAACCAGTAAAGAGATAAGAAGAAAGAAAAATATCATTAAGGGAATAATGTTTGATTAAGCATCACTTTCTCACAGCTAAATCATTGGAGAGGTGATGACGGCAGTAAGGAGAATTGATCGTGAAATCTAGGGCATCAAAAGGGCCAAATAAAGTGTCTAAGCCAAGGGCAAAATAAAATGAACCCATGATAGTTTACCCTTGAACCTTAGGGTCAAGAATCTGATCCCTGAACCTAAGATCAAAAGTCCAGAACACTAATAATATCCAATCATAGAATCCCACAAGATACTCACTGTCAATTATCGCTGCATCTCTAAAAACCCCTGCAATATTGTTACCACTAAGTTTGCAAGGAAACTCATAAAACCTCAGCAAAGTTATCACCAAAGGAGTGGCATCCATCTATGGCAAGTACAAATGCACTTAACTATTATAAAACAAGTTTAATTATACTTAACAGAATACCTGTTGATTGTTGCTCTTGGGAACTGCTTTGGAGTCAAACAATAAGGTCTTTCCTTTGCGATCACATTCCTTGAACACCAGAATTCTTATCTCATCATGTTCCAGTTGTGGAAAGGGCCTTTAAAGGCATAATTGAATAGGTAAGATATTTTATTTTCAATCTAGCCAATTATAGCTATAATAATTATCAGGTAACTATTTATCCAGTCATTGAGGTTTTTCTTGAAGGCAAGCCTTGGAACTCTTTCCTCATTTGCCAATCTGGAGCAACTACGTGTGAAGACTATGAGCAGTCCCTGCTTTTTAGCCAAGTCTGTCATAAGACTAAAAAAAATTCAGCAAAAAAAAGACTGATGCTAATGCCTTGCATGGAAAGGAGTGAGGCAGAGGAAAAGAAGGGTCCTGACACAGACTTTGCCCAGAAGCAGAGGCTGATTGTAATCTACTTCCCAAGTTGACAAATTGTCAAGTAAAATCAAAAAATTATTATTCATGATTTCCAGGAAAAACACAACTCAAGAGACTTTTGAAGAATAAACTACAATCCAAATTTTGTTTCCTCAGATTTTAAGTCCACCCTGAATGCCATTGCCCAAATGAGAGTAGTGTAAGAAAGATGACTTGAGCTAAATTCAAAATCTTAATTATACAAAAATATGCAAAATTGACCCAATTTCCCACAAAACTTCATTCTATATGTCTTAGTCAGCAAATCTGATTGAAAAATAATTCCCACTTCATATAGTTCATAGTAAATGACTACTCTATGCAAGTTTTGAAACACTGCAGGGTACGACTAGTATGTGATACTTATCAATAGAAACAACAACAACAAATGGTTTGACGATGTTGAAAATCAACTAGCACGACAGACAACGAAACAGAAAATGTTGTGTAATGCTTAGCAGGCAAAAAGCAATTCATATGAACATAAACGATTATAAGTCGCAAAATTCAAGAGGGAGTTGAACACAAATCATTTTTATGGACACCACTTGGCATTAAAAAGTCAATCGACCTTTGTCCGATAGCAGTATAATCATGTCCTTAATATAAATGATCGGCTACGGCCAGACAATGCGAAAGTTATGTGAAGAATTCTTGTCATGGTTCATATGACATAAAACTAATTTTTTTTAAGTTCTAAACATGTGTAATGTTTCCTGCTGCTTTAATGATCACAAGGCTATTTAGACTTGGTATTAAGGTTCAGTTCCTCTTTCAGGAATGGCAAACAAAAATTATTCGAAAGAAACATTGGCAATTCTACAATCACACGTCTTAAAGTTAGCTCCATACATTTACATTTCTGTAATTGAATTCGATACTCGCAGACGGATCAGGGAGGTAATTGGGAAGAAGATTCACATGATGGCTCATGCAAGGGCGACATATTTTACCAACAATTGCTGCGTAATAATTTACATATGCTGTCGATTTACATTCATTACATACTCTTCCAGAACAGTCTCAAAGGTTCGCGACTAATTTTCCTAGAATACAGGATTTATCTTGCATAACAAAAGAAAGGAAGTTTTACGATATTGCTAAATTTACGCGTACTTCAAAACTTTGACAGTAGCAGGGGTCTTTAAACAGTATCCTCTCGTTAACAGGAATTCCAAGAAACATATTTCGCAGGCGACACGATTGTACACTTACAATTTCTACTACTCGCATTAATGTTAATTTTTCGGTCACGAATGCAAGCTACGGTAGGAAATTCTGTTATATTCTGAGCACTAGTGAACTTGTAACCCCGCAAATTTAGCTAGTATTTCACCTGAAGACCGACGAACAGAAATCGACAAAATCGTGTCATATTAGCACGTTATAATTTACCTTCTAGTAGCAAGAATTTCGTCTGGTGTTTCGCTGTGAAATTACAAAACAAAATTAAGCGTCGTTATAACGATCTTCAAACGAGGGAACGAAGTCAATCAGACGAGAAACTTACAGGTCGCCATCATTGTGCTTTTTCCCAGGTTTTCGTGCACCAAAGGAGAATATTTTCGACAACATTGGCGCTGCCTTTAGCTCCTAAAACCATTTCCCTCACAACACGTACACATGCGAGAACAAGCAACGGGAGAGACGTGGGAAGAAGGCGTCGGGGTCACATGACGCTAGAAGACAATTTTTTTTAGGCACGTGATTGGCAAAGTCTTCGCGGGAAAAAGTTTGTTGTCATTTGATTGGTTGCGAAATCTGATCAAGGAAGCACAAAACCCAGTGACAAGCGCGTGATTCAAGAGGTTTTCACCCAATTGATACCAAACTTGGGCATTTCGCGTTACAATCTATTTCAAAGTTGGACTTGAAAGAAATTTTACGCAACACTATCGATTGTACGCTTTTTATGCTGAGGTGAAATTTACATCTTTCGAAGGCAATGATCACGCACAAATCGCAAATCATGTGGCTTTTTCCCGTCTTTGTCACGATCGTGTCAATGGTTTTGCAACCGCTCTTTTTGGACCTTTCGACTCACGTGCTAAGCTCGAGAAATCGTTACGATTGAACCAAAAGAATTCGAAACATTTTAACGCAGAAAAAAAGAAGAAAACATTGTTTCCATTTCTTACCACGATGCAAAAGAGAAATGATAATAATAATAATAATGATTACGTCTCAATCGAAAACTTGCAGAATGACCTCTGGTAATGCGTGACAAGTGATGGAATTCCCTTATTTACAATTAAGGTTTCATAGACAAACCTGCGATTTTTTTTCGATTTGGAAAATCCCATGAGCTTCTGCCCAGCTTTCCTCCGTACTTCACTGCAAACTTGAAGGGCCGTGATAAATAAACAAATCCACGATCAAAAGAAGCCAAAAATATGAGCGTGCTTTATCCTCTGATTTCAACTACTACCACTGTCCTTCAGCTCTGATCCGTTAAATGAACTGTAAACTTCTTCTGTCAGCTGTTATGTAAATGTCTTAAGTCCCGAGACAAAAACATGAGCAAGACTGTCACGTTTCGTAATGTGAGCCTAACACCCCGCCTCCAGTTCCTCCTTCTTTCACCGCTGGCTTTCCTTCCCGTGGTGCATGGTTTCCGGATGGTACGATGAACTCCGTTCACAAGGTTCAAATTAATTTACAGCGCCTCTCTCGAGCTCTCCACTCAAAAGTACAGATGGATAACAATTTAATGAACTTCCAGGGAAACCTGCGGAAAAAAAAACACAACAACAAAGTTTGTTCGACTACTGTTATCATCTCAGACAGGCGGAAAAAACTGATTTACTCATTAACCACTGAGAATTCTTATTAATAATTGGATTTGTAGCGTTTTTGAAGCGGCGTCCAATTGCAAAAAGGTGGAGTTTATTCGAGGGCGGTCCCTGTTTCAAAACTACTTTTTAAATTCACTGACAACTAATATGATAAACATCAGTAAATATAAATGAGACAGACACTTGATGAAAGTTCTGACGTCTCGCTTTTTGTTATAAAAATTTTCCTTGAATGCAAGGTGCAGATTACCAAGTTGTGCCGAACTTGATATTGTGTTTCCCATCGTTGTAAATAAACACCGCGTTTTCTCACTGGGTGTGGCGTTTCACGGAGGGTACCGGTGTCCATTATTAACAGTTTGGCTTCCTTATCCAGCGATTATTCGAAAGAGACTCTTAATCGAAAAAGAGTGGCACCTATGAGTCCCTGCATACTATGGAAGCTGGTACGAAATCCAACCAAGTTTAGCTACTTAGCTTGTGTGCATGTACGGATTTAACCTGGATTTTTTTTTCTCGCCGCCCATTTTAATTTGGCCAAAGGTATTAGGTGTGTGATTACATTTTTGGGCTCTCTAGTGAACAGACACTCGCGTCGATGGTCGCACAAACAGGTCTCGTTAATTTTTGTTAATTAAAAAAAAATAGATTGATAGATGTCGTATCCTGAACAACACGAAAAGGAAATTGCTAAATAGGTACAGTTACAAAAAATAAGAAGAGGAACCAGGGAAAGTTGTTCGATGAAAGATCACAAGAAAAAAAGATATTTAAAGCTAATATAACCTGGTTTATCAAGATAGAAGAATAGGCTGAAAAAAAAACCACGTGAAAAGGATACGAAACCACGCATTGATTCATAGCAAGCAACTCTTTTTGGTTGTGAGATCAACGTGAGGCATGCTAAGTAGCATGACCGAGAAGTTTTTCCGAGAATTTGACGAGAAAATCGTGTGACTTCTTGTATTTTTAGAGATTACTGGTCACTCGTGATATTTTAACATTGTTCAAATTGCTTTCACTCACGCGCTTGAAATTCCAAGAAATCACTCAGAGATCAGTTGAGTTCATGAAACAGAAAATATGCTTCGCGTTTATACGATTTCATCTGCAGAATAGTAGAAGAAAAATAAATATATGGGCAAGTTAAGGAGAAAGGTCTCAAATGACTGTTTAACTGACCGGCTGTTAACTTCGAATTCATATATAAGATGTGAGGGTCACTTCCTGATATAACCAATCACGTAACGGTATTCAGGTAACGTGACAGTCAAAGTTTCATGACGCAAATTTTTTAGCTGTCACACTATTTAATGGAGCGACTAAAGACCGTGGAATCTAAAAAATGATAATGTTCTACTTCCTTCCCACAGATGATCGGTCACCTAACCATCCATTTCCGTTCAAGGACAGTAAATTAACAAAGACAGCCATTTTTGTAGGTCGTGGTAGCCGATTGTCCGAGTTCTAATATTAGCCATATTAGATAATAAGTCTGCGAAACCGATATAAGAAATATATATATTTTTTAAAAAACCGTTGGTTTCATTGTGCTTGATTTGTGCTCTAAACCTAAAAGGTGCTCAAAAATTGCTCAGAATCGCAAAAAAGTTTCTCTAAACTCAAAACGTTGCCCAAAAGTTGCCAGGCGCAATCAGGCCAAGCCGTAAAAGTTCTGGGCAAGAGAACAGGGAAATAATTTTCGAGTTCTTTTTAATTTTAACACAGACGGGATTAACCCGGAAGTTGGAGATTCTTCAGATTTCCGTATCTTCTCAAACCTAAAGTAGGAAATTTGTTTTTTATTGACTGAAAGAAAAATGGTATCTAAGGAGAAGCCCAGAGCCCCCCCCCTTCCCCCCTCCCCTCCCCCTTCCCCCACCCCACCAGGGGTTCTGCCCCTGATAGACCAAAGGTATTTTCAGATATTTTTAAAGAGACCCCTAGGCGAGGCGTGGGGATGATTTCAACATCATATCTGGTTGTTTTCACTGTCATGTCACGCAATCGAACTCTAAAATCAAAACGATCAAATGGCCAACGCCAAGAAAGTGAGATATTGTAGAGTATTAACAAATAATCAATTTTCTAAGTTTCCGGTCTGTTGGATTTTCCGCTGATGAGTTATTCATCAAATTGTCTGAGATAAGTTCGTTGAGCTCAGCATGAGGACGCCATTTTGGGTGGAACGTGGTGAACATGACTAGCATGACAGCCATGAGGTAACGCAAATATCTGTTGTCTCGTTTCGACACTAAAATAATTAGTTATCCATTGTGAACTTGCAAAAACTCATCCAAACACATTTTCTAGTGTTTCTAATGTTCAGGGACCAAAATTTCATATCACCAAATTATATTTTATTAAGTATCAGCTTCCCGGGCCGCTATTTGTAGAGAAAAATTACGAAACTAGACGTGGCCCACGACGATGAAACCTTTCCAGTAGGTTAGTATTTAGGAGATTGTTCGTTTTTCGGAGGAAAAACTGTAATAGCTCTTGTCATTTTAGATTTTGGATTTTTTTCAACGTCACGTGAAAACCAAGGTGGTGTTATGGATTTTGATCAGCAAGAATGATCTTTATTTCCGAAATACATCGAGATTTTTGTCGATTCAATTCTTGAAAATATCAATTTTCAAACATTATATTTTCCACCTTTCTTGGCGACGAAGATCGTACAATCAAGTTGTCAACTGTCATTGTGCGGTGACGACATCCTAGCAATAAAAACAAAAGAACCGCATCGTGCTCGAGAGACACTTTTAAATATTGTTCACTTACACTTGGAGCGAGTACTCTGAGAACGAAAATCTCGTCCAAACTATCGTCGGGTTTCTCGAAAACTTCATACAGGACCTAGGACCTATATGACCGTATATAGACCTCGAAAACTAAGATCTTAAAACTGGGTGCATTGATGAACTGGAAGGTGCCAGTATTGAGGTCAGCACTACTTTACTTAATGGGACAAGTTTACCAGGCACACCTCAAACAGTTCCCAGGCCTTCACAGCTTTCAAGATGGCGGTTACATTGTGACGCGTCGATAATTTGATCATCCTTTTATTGTAGAGGTTAGTATGCAATTTTTTTTCTGCAAGAAATGATAAATGATATAACTGTAAAAGATGGGAAACAGTCCTTTGAGATATAAAGGTCGCTGGGAGTGCCAACAAGGATAGTTTGGAGAAAGTCAAGAAATTCGAAAGAGGTAATCGATAATTACACATTTAAGTCGAAATTTGTGCTAATCATAAGTAATCGTTGGTATGTTTATAATGACTTGTTTAATGAATTGTTTAATTTATTTATTTGCGATATTAAGCCCGGCTGACCCAGTTCAGCCTAAGGTCGAGGCCAGACCACAACATCGTATCAGGAGCTACGTTCACAACTCTTTCCGCGAAGTGCGTAGGTCGTTATTAACGTCCTCTGCTAACCAGTACAGAGAAGACGCAGGAGACGGGGTCCGAGAGGACTAGATTTTCTTACCTCGTATGGATATTTTAGCAAAGGTAACACATTGTTCTCAGTTATTCTAAAAGTCTACGTGTTGATCCGGTCTGGGGCGAACCGTTGACCTCCTGCACGGCGGGGCATTCCGGCGATTTACAACGTAAGCTAACCAAGCGCGGTTTTCATTCATTCACACATTATATTTATCTTTTCCTTTTTTTACCCTTTTTTTATAGAAACTACGGACTCCAGAGCACACATCTTAAGATTGGCAAAGCTCGTCGCTGCATAATCTTAAATGGCGCCCTTCTTGCTCGATAAGCTAGCAACACTTTTGATGACTGCTTCCATAGTACTGCTTCTTGTACTTCTTTTACTGGTGCTTATTGTGTGGAAAGAGCACAGGAAATATGACCATATTCCTGGACCTAAACGGAGGAGTTTCTTACGTGGAAACTTCCCAGAAGTTGAAGAAAAAGGAAAGCTTCTTTCTGAACTGTTTCTAGAGCATGCTCTTGTGTATGGGCCTATATTTGTCTGGTGGTATTTTTTCTGGCCAATTGTGGTAATATCAGGCCCAGAATTAATAAAGCATGGTTTAGTAACTTTAAACCTTCCAAAGGCACCATCATCGTACGACAGTTTAGCATATATATTTGGACGACACAGATTTCTTGGCTCTGGGCTGGTTACTCAGTTGAATCATCAAAAATGGAAGTCAAAGAGAAACCAATTAAATCCAGCCTTTCATCGCAGTTACTTGAAGGATCTTGTCCCACAGTTCAATTCTATCGCAGATGCTCTTATTTCAAAGCTGTCAAAAGTTGCTGATGGGAAAACTGTCATTAATATGGTGGATGAATTCCAAAAAGTGACTTTGGATGTCATTGCAAAGGTATGGTAGTGGAATTATTTTGTAAAGCAGTTGTTTGGTATTATGGCCAAGTAAGGAAGTGGGGGCTCATTCAGGGAGGGGCTTCTTATAGGAGAGAAATTTGCATTTCAAAATTGGCTGGGCTTATAATTGGAGGGAATTTGTGTCAAAATTTTTGAATGTGCAACTGGTAATATTAAGGTTTTGGTTAGAAATTCGTAATAATTTACACTGTAAATGCCAAGTTCAAACACAACAGCAATAAACTTTATTAGAACAGAAATACAGTAATAACGGTAATGTGGTTCCGGCTCAGAGTCCATGATAACTATGAAAGCTCTTATCGCTTGAGGAGTACTGGAGGGAGTTTTGGTTCAGGGTGGCGAGATTGAACTTCCTTGCAAATACTTTGTCTACAGACCGAAGGAATTCAAAGCACAAGTGAAGAGCAAACTGGGTAAAAGACAATAAACTTCAACACCTGTTGACCACATTGCTTTAGTGCACGGAATCATTCTTTTATGACTAAAAAAGGCTTCCTGATAATGGGGATTATGTGGAGTTTGCGTTGTATAATTAAGGATAATTTCCAAATACAAGCTCCCAGGGGCTTATATTCGGAGGGACTTATTATAGGAGATATTTTTGCCTTTCAGATTAGGAGGGCTTCTATTCAGAGAGGCTTATACATGGAGGGGCTTATTTTTGGAATTTTATGGTATGTTATATTTATTAAATCATTCTTATTTTGCTCCTTAAGGTTGCATTTAGCCTGGATTTGCATTGCTTGGATGATCACAACTGCAAAGTCCATAGAAATCTTAGTAAGTGTCTGGAAGGTTATTCAGAGAGCTATTACCAGCCTCTACTGTCCTTGTCACTTTACAAACAATCGTACCAGAAGACCATTTCCAAATCAATATCTGTTTTGCGTCAATGCGCAAAGGAATGTATAGAACAGCGACTGCTAGCCATGGAAGACTCTAAGAAAAGGCCTAACGATATACTCCAGATGATCCTGGAGGCTTTTGATGTGAATTCAAAGAATAGTCATGCTATCATGGAAGAACTTGTGGATGAGTTCCTCACATTTTTCTTAGCAGGTAATGATTTTGTGTAAAAATTTGTTAGCTTGTGTAGTAACTGTGCCAGATTGTCATGCAAGGAAGAAGAGGTTTCAAACTCCAGACCAAGCCAACTCTCAGGGTCCTAAAATAACAGGAGAGTGTATTGCCTTTGCTGTGACATCTGAAAATGGTTAGAAATTGTAGTCTTCTCTCAGGAAAGGATGATAAACCATAAGTCCCGTCTCCTGCATCTCCTCTATAATGCTGGTTAGCAGGGGCCGTGAAAGAACCGACACACTTCTCCCAACAAGTAGGGAATGTAGCTGCAGGTGTCACGGTCTGGCCTTGTTTCCTTTTTATAAAGTTTCTCATCTAGCCCAACTTTAAAGGTAAACTGGGCCAGCCTGTCTAAATGTTGCAAATGAATGAATAAATAAATTTTCTCTAGCTGCATATTCTTGAGTCTTCTTGATTCAGGAGGTGTATAGCCTTGTTTTTGTGTGTTGTGAGAAAAATTTCAGAGGGTTCTTGATCCAGTAAAAGAATTGGATCGCAGTTTAATGAGCCCATGCTGAAACTGACAAAAAGTCAGTCATCTAAAACACTTGTTTTCAGAACTACTCCCACCAAAATGATCACTGACTACACAATAATTCTCCTAGATTCAAACACTTGACTGAATGTATTATTTGTAACTGTGACTGTTGCTTTGACAACCCCTAAGGAAGTTAAGACATGTCAATGTATCAACAAGTCTCTGTTACGATATCACTACAACTGCCCCCATTATTTTCCCATGGGAGTTCACCCTGTGACAGATGATACAGCCACCCCACCCCCAACTCTCCTATAAGAGAAAATTCCACTGAGCTTATATTGGATCTGTTAACTCAATTGTTTCAGATTTTAAAATTTGTATTCTTTTTCTATGACTTTATACAGGGCCATAAGTTTATTAGCCCATCACTTTTACTTGCTACCCTGTCTTAATAAAGCATTTATTGTTGTTATTATTATTATTATTGTTAATTTAGTTTTGTTTTTAGGTCAAGACACAACAGCAAACCAACTAAGCTTTACCTTGCTAGAAACTCTGTTGAATGAAGACATTGAAAACAGGTTTTTGATGCAGCTACTGAATAGATACTTGAGTAATTAGTAAGGTTCTTGCAATTTGACCTTCCTTTTGCTGAAAAGGGTGTGAAAATTTTTTTATTGAATAGTGCAGTATTACATTGAAATTTTAGGGAGAAGTTGGTCGCCTGACGTTACCCAGGGTCTTAATTTTCATTTGGAGCAAATCATGATATATACAGCACTATGATGATGATGTCCATTTAACAACTAGATTCCTTTCTGCTGTGCATCTGGTACTTCTGTTCAGTAATAGTAATAGATCGCAGATGAGATCATAATAAGATTAGAACATTAAAGTAGCACATGAGGAGCAGCCAAGTGTGACACTGATATAGCATTTTTTGAAGTCCTATGTGATATATCACTGAACAGACACAGAGTGATATGGAATCTATTTGTTTTATACAGTGCATGATAAAAAATTAACATTTTCTTATAGTTTTCTACAGCTTGTAGTCTGTCCTCCAATAAGGAGAGAGAAGTCAAAATGCATTTATACATCAATCAGTTTATCATATAAATAGAAATGCTTAATCTTCTCACATTTTTTTCAGGATATTTCAGGAGGTGGACAATGTCATAGGAGGAAAAGAGAGTGTTGAATTTTTTGACATTGCAAAGATGCAGTATCTTGGGCAGACACTTAAAGAAAGTCTACGAAAACATCCAGTTGTGGGGGGTATTGCCCGTGTCACTACAAAAGCTGAGAAATTTGGACAATATTTAATACCTAAAGGAGCAAACTTACACTTTTCAATATTTGTCTCTCATCACCTTCCTGAATTCTGGGACAATCCAGAAAGCTTTCATCCAGAGAGATTTGCAGACAATGTTAAGCCTTCAAACTTTGTTTACCTTCCATTTTCTTGTGGTCCAAGAATTTGCATTGGAAAGGTTTTCTCAGCTATCAATGCCACCATTATCATGGCACGCATTTTTCAAAAGTTTAAATTTCAGTTGGTGCCTGGGCAGACTGTGCAGCGGGATGACAATCTCACAATTTTCCCTAAGGATGGAGTCCTGTGCACTGTCAAGGAAAGGATATCAGCACTTTGAATTCTTAAGTAATGACGAATGGCCTTAACTGAGATTCTTCACTGAAATATTTAAAATGGACTCCAAGGTTTTTGATGCGAAATACTTTTAGTTTAAATAGCCTCACTGAATATTGTGAACAAAATTTTGTTGCAAAGTTGAATGTATTTAAGTACTTTCCCCACAAAGGAAAGACAATTACTTTTGAGATAATGCAAGTGAAAGGGTTTATCCTATAACTCCCAAAAGTGATTAACATAAAACTTCTCCCCACAATATCCATACATTATTCAGCAAATACGTAATGAGAATATTCAACCTTATCAGTAGAAGCTGCCATCTTGATCTAGCACCAAGTTCTCACATCTAATTTACAATGAAATGTGTAGCAGCTACAGGGGAAAATTAACAATCAGATCTTGGAAGTTAAAGGGTTCATGGCTGCAGTTGAGCACAACAAGAGATACACTAAGGTAGAACAGAAAAAAATTTTTGCAAGCTTTTGATCATCAAGATCTCTAGCCACTTTTTTGTAAAATTTCAGCCTTAACCCTTTAACTCGCAGCAGTGATTAGCTTGTAACTTCTCCCTAGTGTGTCCATACATTATTTAGCAATTATGCAATGAGAATACTCAAACTTATCAGGTAGAAGTTGTTATCTTGGTCAAACACCAAATTCACGTAACCAATTTAATAGGAAATGTGTAACAGCAAGAGGGGAGAATTAACAATCAGATCTTGAGGGTTAAAGAAGTGAATCAAACCAATTTTAGGTAATCTTTTGTGGTAATTGAAGGATGCTCAAAAATGATGGTAATTGAACTGAGTGGAGTGCAATTTGTTCAAAAATCATATGCGTGACTTCAAAATCAATTTAGCACAACATGGGTTTGATTTGAAATCACAATACATGGTATTATTTCAGACCAAAATTGCACAACTAAAACTTCAATTACCACCTGATAAATATCTATTCTGAAATTGCAAAATTCAGTCACTTAAATAGTGGTTTTTTCAATCTGTACATTAGTAATTTATTGATCCAGTTTTGAGCTGATTTGTAAAAAGTTACAAAACTTGTCTTTCGTTTTCCTGCAATTTGATCAGTTTCTTTAAATAAGCCTTGAAATGTGATTGGTGGTTGTTTTTCAGTAAAGCTGTCTCATTGGTTAGGAAGGAGATGCATTTAGAGCATGAAATGGTGTGATTCATGAATAAATCACATGAATGATATCCAATCAGATTACAAGGATCACTTGCGATTTCATAGTGGATGTAATAAAAACTGTAATCATGCTGAAAGTATACATAGATGGACTTTGGCATGACAACTTTTTCAAAAGAATTATTGTATATATATATATATATATATTTAATCACTTATTTGTTCTGTTTACTAATTGTGTTCTTATTTTATCTTCAGTTGGTAGGCCATTTAAAGTATTGATGGCTACTAAGAACATATTTAAGGGTTGCGGCATAATGAAAATACTCTTAACCCTTCAACTCCTGTGAGTGACCAAGACAGAATTTCTCTATACAATATTAATACAATACCAACTAGATAAGTGATGTGAATAAAGAATAATATCAATTTGGGGATAATAAGTTGATCCAATGTTAAATTCTCTAAACTAATATTATAAGAGTTGTATGGTTAACAGTAAGGAGGATGATAAATTTGATCTGGGAGTTACAGGGTTAATTCCAAAATGTTGACCCTTTAAAAAGCATGATTAATGGAGGCAAGACCTAAAAGCCTATGAATCATTGATTCCCTTTGCTCACTATTCATAAGATCTTTGTGGGAATTGTTTTTTCAAGGAAAAAGTGGATAGCTTTCATCACCATCATTATGGCTATTGTGTATGTATTGTACCCAGAGAGTGGAGGGCTCCCATCCCTCATTGCAAACACCTCTTCAATTGTCAACATTTTTGTAACTTAGTATTATGAACTGAGTTGATAGCTGAAATCAGTCACCTTTGAGTTACAAAGCTGACATGTTAGCCCTTTGTCAGAGCGCAGGGCTAATGAAGGGTTAATGCTTGAAACATTTCTTTAATGATGGTCAGTTTTAAGTCGTCAACTCAGTTTATAATACTAAAATACCCTATTACACTCTCCCACCGATGCAACACCACAGTTTCTATAGAAACTTACCCTCTTTTATCAGCATTCTTGTGACTGAGTGTATCTCAGGGTTTTGTTTTGTATGTATTACGACAAATTTTAAATGTGATTGTTTGTAAAAAGAAATACCTGAATTAAATGAAAACAGCTTAACCCTTTAACCCCTTACAGTGCCAAGCATCTAATTTCTCCTTACAATATCACCCTCAAATCAAACACTAAGGTCATGAGAATAAAGGAAATGATCACAAACTAAAGCAGCTCTTGATTATTAGATAAATTCTCTTTGTCAGCACCTTGGGAAATGTACAGTGATTGGCATGGAGAATATGGACACTGATGTTAGGGGGTTAAATTAAGTGTTAAGTCAGCCCAAACTCGGGGCAGAAGCAACCGAGAGAGAATCCCTGGTTCTTGTTCAGCCCTCTTTCACTCGTGTATTTTTTCAATGCCCATACAATGAACTTCTATGCAAGAGTCTTGCAAGCAGCAGACATGTTGAAATTTTAAGAAACAAGACAACAATTTTTTAGGTATAAATAAAGAATTTTGTTTCTTTAGTTTCAAGCAGAAAGAAGGCCTCCTTTTCAAATTCATTGAATTTTATGATTTTAAAATAATATGTTGTACAATCCTTTCATTTTTCAATTTGTATGGCATCTGTCCCCACAGATTTCGTGTCTTTAATCTACCAAATTTATCTCTGATGATCTACTTTAATACATAAACTTCCTCTCACGTAATCTTCCTTTATTAATGAATGCATTTCAAGGTTCAGTATTACTTGCTAGAGGTAATGTCTTAATTTGTAATCCCAATTTTTTTCTCTTTTTGTGGCTATTAAGTTAATTAAACTGAACTCAATATTGTGAAATGTTTTCATGGTAAAAGCATGGCATAGCATTTGTTAGTCAATAATTGAGCAAGACAAGCTTGGGTGTTAAATTAAAAGCCCAACATGTTTACGATAATAGCCTACGTGAGTGAAGAAGTGTTTTGTTTTCAGTGGAATGAACTAGACTTCCCTTAATCTTGTAGACTGAAGCAGAAGTTGAAGCTAATCTTGACTGCACATTGTTCAAAACAAAGTGATCAGCTTTCATTCATCAATCATAAAAAACATCATCTTACAGAGGAAGTGAGTTTCATCTTATCGCATTAATATAGAACAATCTGATATTTAACATTTAATTAATATCAGGAACAATGCATGGGCTTTTCATTCATATTGTGTGGTTTGTTCTGGGCAATAAATGATAAGAGAGGAGTTTGAAATTTCAGCCATTTATAGTTAAGCACTTCATCATAAAGCTTGTTACCTAGAAATTGTACCTCTGCCAAATTTCACCCTGTGAGTTAGGGTTCCCAGTTGTGGGGGGCATTATCCACCTCATAATTTTCTTTTTTTTTTTTTTTTAAATAGTCTCGATTGATCTGCTCATCACTCCAAAAATAATTCCATATTTACTAAACAAAGGCATAAAAATATCAGATATAACAAAATGACATCTCCCTGGCACATTTGACATCGAAGGTAAGGCTGCCACAAAATCAAAACTGATGGAAGTTTCTAGTTTAAATATCACAGGTGTGTATGTTCGTGGAAGTATGATAATTTGGGAAAATATTGATTTAGTGGTCAAACCTCCCTGTGGGACGGAAAAAACTAACTCACTGTTGTGCATGAAAATGATCTTCAGCACTCTATGGCGTGATTCTGAAAGGGGAATCTTGGCGTCTGTTTTCGATTTCGTTTGCTAAAGTGCATAAAATTAACATATTGTACGAAGAAAAAAAACCAATAAACCAAGTGCTTTATTTTAGTAATGCGCGAGAGGCTACTTCTCTCCACCAATTGTATTAGGCTGAATGTTTTCCACTCTTTTGCAAATAAACCAAGCAATTCAACGGCTATTAAGTTTCAAGGTTGAAATATTTACGCCTAAAGTTGTCTTCCCCTGTGCTAGCAATTTTTTGATTGCCTAGGGTTCGGGTAACATGTCGCTTGAGAGATACATAGCTTTTTCTGACGAGATATAAACTTGTTTGGAGAAACTTTGCACTTTATCCTGTCCTTTTTCAATAATATTACCTCCAGCGAGGGAGATTACGCTAAGCAGAATAAAGCTCCAATTTTAAGACCTACAGGAAATTTTCTTTTATACGGCCGCTTGAAAAATAGGGTCAGAGTTGTTGAACAAAAGCGTCTGATGTTGTTTTCTTTCACAAATGGGAGACACTGTTGGCTGAAAACCAAACATACATCATAATTTCGACCGACAGAGGTTGCAAATATTTGGAGGCAGTCCTTTATCAGCATGGTGGTTAATTTATCCTGTGACTGTCGGCACAACACAATGTTTCAAAGGATTTCTCACTGCGCAGTACTAATGTGTACCAAGCGAAAACATTTCGCTCGATGGACTCAAAAACAATTTACCGCTTTCAAGAGAAGAGAGCGTTCTCTGCCTTTGAGGCAAGATAGCAGACGTCGACAGTTTGGGAGAGATCTTTGCATTTTTTGACTATTTAGCGAGTATTTGATGTCAAGTTCAATTTAAATAACTTGTCCGCGACCACAGGCCAACATCTGTACTTCACAAATCAAATTCCGTTCAATTTTGACGATTTCTCCGTTCTTTGCTGTTAAAACGTTACATGTAAATGTATCAGCGCCTTCTGCGCCAATTTTTTTCAAACATCACAAGGCACTTTGTCCTCAAAACCCCAAAATATTCGGACGAGGCCATGCCGCCCGTTCGCACATTAGATTCATTCCTTTGACAATACAGATAAACAGCTTTGTGCACACCAACAGTGGAAAAGTTTTTCTTAAGGATTATTTATTACAAAAAACGAACCGAATTTCACAGCTTTTTTCACATGCTTGTGCAGTTTCAAAAACGAGGTTTACATGTGAATCATTCAATCGCCAAAAGGCGCAACTGCTGTCTTTCAAACTTAGTAAAAAATCCGCTACATTTCCGCGATAAATACTTCCCAATGAATGCTTTCTCTCTCCTTTACACCACATTCAACTTTAGAACGGAGATTTCTGAGTCAACTTCCGTCGATTAATTTTAGAAAATTACCTTAGACAGTGATTTTCTAAACCATACTACCATTGAAGAAGGCAACATTCAACCTCTCTGCAATGAAATTGCAACTTGTCTAGTGTTATAAAATTCATACAGTTTATCATGAGTATACCCGTATCATACAGACGTTTCATAAATGTTGTATCGTGCCCCAAAGAACAACACAGTTTTAAAAAATCGTAAATATTTCAACATATAGTATCATATACAAAAAACCTTCAGAAAAATGTTTATGAACGAAAGCTACAATACGGTCAGAAAAAGCTACCTGTCATAACCTCAAATTTTATAAAAATAAATCTGTGGTACCTCATTTCGCTTTCAAATAAAACCACAAAAACAAACCTAGTTACGAAAAAGGGTATCATTTTAACCTTTTTCTGCGAGTTAACATAGTTCTGAAACGCGAATTAACAGCAGTAATGCGTTGTGACATGAAGTCGTTCCGAGGTTGTGCTCTTCGAGGTTGTGCTCCTCGCAATCGAATAGTCTATATTTTATGTGTATTACGTACACTACTAGTTACCTCGTCTAGAAAAACTCACTTGTGTCCGTAAAAAAGTTCAGCTTATAAAATCTATTGTCTCCTGTCCGTTCAAACGAAGGCTTCTTTCCCTGTGTCGCCTTGAAGTTTGTATGTGTCTTTGTAGCAGGCATCACTCAGAGCATAGCTACCTTCGTCTCGCTTCCGGAGGCGATAAACCAAAAATGCGATCAGAATAACAGCACATACAGCTCCCACGACGACTGCGGCAATAACTTCAGTAGTTAGAACCCTAAGAACGCTTCCCTCTTTCTCTTTGGTTCGTGCTTCAGCGTTCGGAGTATCTTGCTCGTCCTCGTCGGTATCCTCTTCACTTGGTTCGTCGTCATCCGTATCTGAGACACCGCCATGGACCACGCTTTCACCATTATCGCTAGGCCCATCGGGACGTTCGTCCACAAGTGGGTCCTCCGATGGGTTTTGAGTGTTATCTGCTATCACATTAGGGTTTTCTGTGGTCTGTTCGGTTGTGGTGTCTGGTTGTTTGGTGGACGGTGAAACAACAGTAACATCCACTATAGCATCTATAGGATCACCGCTGCCACTGGCACTTTCATCTGATACAGTGGTAGACCCATCATCGTCCTCGTCGTCGTCCCCTTCGCCGTCAAAGATTTTGACAGTTTTAGTGCTTTCCGATTCCTTCTTCTCCGAGGAATCTGTGTCGCCATCGATGTCAATCGAATCATCGAACTCCGCCATTGTGCGATCGATTGCGAAGGCCACACAAACAACAAAAACACCCAAAAGAAGCAATTTAGGTCTCATGTTCGTCCAAAATATCCTTCACCCTTTTCAATTGCGATTTTCCACGTTGCTCGAGAATTCCTGAGTTTCAAAATT